TTTGCTGTTGTTAAATGTGGACCCCTTTGACTTCAATTGATCAAGAATGTCCTGAGTTTTTGGAGTCTTCATTCACTGGAGGCATGTGAGAAAAATAAAGTTTTCTTTTAAAAATTCAGTGCAACTCGGGGTGAGTGATTCATATACAAATGATCATTCATGGGGTAAAGTATTCCTTTAATGTTAAATTAATTATACACAGCTGAAAAAAGTACCCAGTGAACACAGTTTACTGCTTTTTAAATGTCATTTGTTAAAAACAGCCCTTTCTGTTTTAGTAAATTACATTACCTTTGGAAAAAAGTTGCTATAAATTTGTGGCCAGTTTTTAAAAATGTCTTCAGTAGGAATGACTGGGCTTGGGGAAGAGTGCCACAGACATAGTAAGAAAATTAGAAAAGTACAGAAAGACAGACTTTTTGGTCTTTTAATGGGATTTGCCAGTTGTGGTAGTGCCAGCTTTATCCTTTAAAGATCTGAAACGCAAGAGAAAAAGATAAAAGAATGAGCTAAAGGGAGGGGGACAGGGAGTCGGAGGGGCCTGTGAGAATACAAGGACATGTGGTCAACACCTGCATCCACACCTCATGTGAACACTCTGTAACACTCTGAGCTGAGAAACATGAGTAGTGAAAAAAGAGCCCACTTAAGTGCTGTAATCCAATTGGTATGAGCTTGACAGGTCTTTAGGTTAACTGCCCCCAAAAACCTCAAGGCCAAGGGAGGCTGCTGACCCTGACAACTAGTCCTCTCGCTCCCAAATGGCTACACTCGCTCTCCAGGAGTAAGGTCATCTGTACACACTCTGGGTCCATATGTCATGACCCTTTGACCCCTGAGGGGTCAGCACGGTACCATGGAGTGTTTGATCCTAAAATAGGCAGACCGCAGGAGGGAGAACGAGGCTGGAAGCAGGGGCAATGAAAGGATTCAAAACTCCAGGGGACCGGGACGACTGGGGCTATTATTACATCAGGCGTACAGGCTTCTGTGGAATTATTTCAGGCCCTAATTTATGCAGCCCAAATGTGTCTCTGATGTGCATATGTGCAGATGCACGATACAGCCCCTGACACGTCCCTCTCTTTCTCAATCTCAATAGACAAGAAGCTGCACATTCTGTCCCGTCCTGCTCAGGGTGGGTCCGATGCTTCTCGCTGGCCAGTTGTCGATGAGGGGATGGAAGGGCAGACCAGTCCTGCCCCTGGAACGCACAAGTTTACCCCACAAGATGAGAGCGGCAGCAACAACATTCTGGCCTATGTGTCTGTCCTGGCTGCCGTGGTGCTGGGTCTGCTTCTTTATGTGGCTTATAAATGGTGAGTCCTCACTAGGGATGGGTCCTAGTCCTTAAATGGATGTGATAAAGATGAAGAGATTGGCTCTGAGATGAAAAATAGCTCTCAGTGGTTAGCTTAACTCACATTGTTTTCTTCTGCTCTTCTTAGCTGGAGATCGTGTAAACAGAAGAAGGCTCTTTCTAAGGCCCGTGCAGCTGAGTTGGGAGCATCTCCAGAGGGAGAAAAGCTTCAAAGTGACAGCGGTGTTTTTCTGGACTCTCAGAGCCTGCAGGACAACCAGCCCAGCAAAGGTGTGGTAGACACAGGCCTTGTTAATAAAACTTAAAATGATGTGGGACTTTCCAATATAAAAGGACTTTATTAGAAACAGGAAATTTCATTTTCTGACAAAACGTATTTTCCAGAGCTGCGGACTCCATTCACATGACTCGGACTCAAGTCAAAAATTTGACGACTTTAGAAGTGACAAAAGCAAAAAAGACTTGCAACTTCACTTGAACTTCAACACCAATAACTTGTGACTTCCCTTGGACTTGAGCCCTCTGACTTGAAAATACTTCCCTCAAGCCAAAAGACTTAAAAATGTTATTTAAAAAGTGTGGCACAAATCATTTTATTTCCCTTCATTTCCTGAATCAGCTAATGTTACTTATTCCCAGCACGTCGACACTTAATTCCCCAGATGATCCAATATGTTTGAATCAATTTGACGGCATCCAGTCAAGTTGCAGGAGACAGCCACAAAAAACAGTTACAGACGGAGATGCAACAACTTCCAACAAATTTGTTTTCGACAGATAAATACACATTTTAAAAAGCATTTGTGATCTTGGTAAATGTAATATATAATCACTCTCTTGTTAAAATGGCATTACAATGTGTGAAGAGTGCAATATGACTTGGGACTTGTCAGTCATGACTTGGCATTTGATTCGGCACTTGAGTGTGAAGACCTGAGGCTTACTTGTGACTTGCAAAACAATAACTTGGTCCCATCTCTGCTATTTTTCTCCACCCTGTGCAGTATTTTCCCACTAGCACTAGTTAGCACACTAGCTATTTAGCATTGTTTTTGTAAGTCGGTCCTCAATTTGTTTCTTTTATTTTATGTAAATTCACAAAGACGCCTATGTACATGCTTTCCTGACACCAGATTTTGGCTATCCAGTGATGGACAGTCGATGGCACCAATGCACCAAAAAACGTAGCAATGTGCCAACAAAAAGATCTGAAGAAGGCTGCTAGCTAGTGAACATGGATGTAAACAATGCAGGTTTCAAAATACTTTAAAAAAATTGACTCTTTAAACTCATTATAAGGAAGTAAATGCATTCGACACATTTGCTAAGGAGTGGGTTTTTGAAAGAAACACTGAATTTAAACGTGGGTTTATTTACATGAAAACTCCACAGGGCACCTTTAAGTTCCAGATGTTTCCCACAGGAATAATGACATGGAAGCTTTCTAATTTCACGCCTATGAAATGTTGAACTTCAAAAAGAAATGTAGCATGACACCCATGCTTTTAACCTTTTAATTTGGCGCATTATAAATAGTATACATACTACAATTATTAATGAAAATAAATTTTTAATGTTGTTGATTTCTACAGGGACGAAGAGGGACAGCAAGCAGGACAACCGCCTTTACGTCAACCTACCCCCCAACAGACAGGAAGAGGTGGAGCGCCTCCTACAGGAGGGAGGGGGCCGGGGGTGGAGGCAGTTGGGCGCAGCGCTGGGCTACGAGCCTGAACAGCTGGACCTGTTTGGGCGTGGAGAGGCCCCTGCTCACACGCTCCTCTCTAACTGGGCCCAGAAAGAAGGCGCCACTCTGGGACTGCTGTGTTCTGCACTGGCCCGCATTGAGAGGCCCGACGTGGTAACGGCTCTTAACTGCCCCGCACAGGGTGTTTCTTTGGTCTGACGGCTCCTTGAATGAACATGTGACACTGACAGACTCGTGTGAAGAACTCTGAAATGACAAGGATGGCACTCTGATATCAGCACCTGTCATTGATCATGATCCAGATTGCTTTGTTGGACACTTACAATCCAGTTTTTACAAAGAGAACAAAAATATTCTTGTATTATTTACTTGAGGGAACAACATTTTTTAATTCTGGTTAAGCCTCAACGCCTTACTCAGCGGACACTGCAGAAACCTGGTCACATTGGATTAGAACAACAATGACCTCTACATACACAACAATAAGTACATTTACAAAGTTGTTTACATGCACACTAATCCTGGTAACTGTGAGTGTTTGGTTAGTGGCAGGAAACAGAATAATGTGTTTACTCTCATCACACAAGTGTGATTATTCGAAAAACCACTGTTTACATGATATTTGGATAGCAATCAGACTTGTCCCCCACCCCCACTAAAAAATATCAGCCTTCCGTTCACCATTGTAAACAAATACAGCTTAGATCATCATTTCTAGTAAAGCTAGCCTGGTTTTATGAATCACAACTTCAGCAACCTCTTTGGTTTTGCAGATGATTTTTTGCCAGAAGGAGATGGTTTCTTCCAACAACTCTGCTTTCCAACATGATGTGACTTTCCCTATTTGGGATCATTTCTGTGCACATGTGCATGCCTAAGAAGAGAAGAAAAATCCAAGAAACCCAGTCAAGGGTTTATGTGGCCAAGTGATCAAACCCTCCCGATGATGCTTGCAGTTGCTAAGAAGACTTTATCTGATGTGTACATGGGACCTACTCACTAGATTGTTTTTTTAGTTTGTTGTCTTGTTTTTTTGTTTCTTTCCTGCTGCAGTCACTACGTAGCCTTGGTATTTATTCACACTGAGGATATATTATGCACCAGTTATGTTTCATATCTTATCAGAAGACAAGAAAATGAAGCATTCTTAAAAACACCTTTCTTAGCTCTTCCTAATAATCATCTATGATTGTAAATATCTTAAATATGAATTTGATAAGTCATGGCTTAAAGTGAGATCATTTATGAACTGTGAAGGCTGAAGAAGGGAATAGAAATTAACCTATTCTCTTTACATTCATAAGACACAGCTCCATTTTTGTCACCTTGATTTCTCATAGTAGACAGAAAAAAAAAGTTCACGTCAACGCTCGTGTCCAATCTTTCCAGCTTGCTTTTGTATTTATTTCACCACCGTTTCAAGTATAAAACTAAATAAAATCTATGAGAACCATGGACATCTGCAGTGTGCTAGTTACACTATGTGATGGCCTTAGATGGTTTGATATTTTTTCTATCGCCAGCCATGTATGGTTTTATGTATATATTTCCTAGTGGTATGCCTTAATGTGTTTTGTAAGATTTTTTATTCATTTAATAAATAACTTTGATAAGTCAGTGCTCTTTTGTTGTAACAGAAGGACTGAATATGATACTGAAGTAATGCTGCAGATCAGGGATTCACCATGGGGATACTTCTGCAGTTACTTATGGTGTGACTGTGGAGTAGCTCAATTCATTTTGAAATATATATGTGTGGGTGTGTGGGTGTGTGTGTTGGCAAGCAGGCAGAGATGTTGATACAGGTAAAAGGGATGGCTAAATAATAATGGTTTAAATAGCTACGACTGTTATAATAACAGTTAAAACTGTAACCGTAAAATAATGGCTAAGGGACTCTACGTCATTTATTAGAGGAGTGGGTGGGTTGGGGTGTGACGTTATTTACTTATTTATTTTTTCTCATCTCGCCCCTCCTGAAGCTACAAATATATTTTCTTGAGCCTCCCTGAGTGACTGGGGGAAAATGCTTGACCTCCCTCCACCATAAATTTTTTAAAGTATTCACACCAAATGCAGGTATTGGAGTCAAGGCGAAGTGCGAACAGCAGGGGAGTACTGCACACAGAGTGCCAATGACCCATACACACACAGCTGGCAGTAGCAATGTGCATATAATGGTAGCTTCCCCACATAAACATAAAAAAGTTGCTGTTTTAAAGTTAAAAATTGAAAAAAAAAGTCATGTTTTTTTCACTGTTGATATTCATGCAGGGGTGCAGAATTTAATTTCTCTACAGGACCTGGTAGTGCAAACTGTTTATTTTTGGTGAAATTTTAAATGAAACACAGAATAAAATAGTATTTATGAGCGAAGCTGCCGTAAATTTAAAAATTCATTGATGATTTCTGTTTTATAGTTTCTGGCTGTTTGGTGTAATTTTGGAAATTTTTAAACAAAACCTGCCTTTCAAACACATGACTAGAATTTAGGGTTCAGATGGTACCTAAAAAAATACAAAATATTACCATCTAAAGTTACAAGTCCCTCCCTTAAGCCAAAATATAAAACATGAGTCCGTTTGCAGTGCTTACAAAATATTTGACTTGCCGCCCCAAGTTTCCCCAAACCCCTCTCCTGTCAGAAATAACAAACACTCCCTAAAAAGTTGAAATAATCAGCTAGAGTTAGAGTTGACACAGTTATCATAAACTAATACATAGTGAACTACCTAAAATGTATGGATACATGTGATGGATTAACAATTCAAATATCTAAAAGTACAGCTGAAATAGTTAGCATAAATTAATGGATAAATAGTGAAAATAAATAAAGTTAGTGAAAAGTAATAGATAAATAGCTGAAATAGCTAAAAGCAATAAATGGCTAAATGTTTGAAGTAGCAGCTAAAATTAAATTAATACATTTAAAATAGCAAGAATAAATGGTGTTGACAATTAGGGGGCACTTGAGTTCATCTGATAAGGTTGAGAGTGTACAAGTGGGTTGATACTTAGAGATTTATTATCAGATATCTTTGTGTTGTACCTCCCATAGACCCTAAACAATTAGCAGTTTAGGATCAAATCAGGCATTTCTTATGTAATTTGGACGTCATGTGCCTTTATATTTATAGCAACACCAACATTTTTTTCTTTTTTAACGTTCACAGAAATATGAAAATTACTGGACCACAACCACATTACTACAGACATGTCTGTCATTTACAGTAAATCATAAAACCCACTTGATGAATAACACAGGGAGGAAGTTTGGACATATTTGGAATATACTACCCCTTATCAAGGGATTTAGTATATAAGAACATTTCCTATCCAAAACCCTGAGGGAAATCAGTTAAGAGGTATTTAATAATTTGAGGGTGAAATGAAAATAATGGCTCCGTCCAAAATATTCTGCAGGAAAGTTTCCTCTTTCTCTCCGAGGCACAATCTGATTCCTGCTCCCCCTCTGCTCCGCTCTGAACTCAAATCTGTTAATGATCTCTTTGCATTCGGGCTCTAAGTGGGAGCAGGCATCTTGCATGGCCTAGGGCAGTGTTACATGCCGTCACACACTCCAGACGGGACTGCTTAACTGCGGTCTGGAGCACACAGGCATGGGGCTGCGGAATGTGCACACACTGGGAGGGGGGTTGGGACCGGCGAGAGAGGAGGAAGCAGAGCAGCGCCTCTCTCCACTCGTCACGGGTCTCCATATTTAGAGTGCACAGAGCATCTCTAATGAAGGCAGTCGATCACTTTGATTCCCTTTACTGGGGCCAAACATCTGGCTCAACACTGCGTACGCGATGTAGTGGCACTCATGCCGTGTGCACCCCTTATTAGAGGAGGTAGCCAATCTAAAACGGGATTGGGTGTGCACTCAGCAGTTCATCATGTAACAGAGGTCACTCACATTTGCTCAGATCTGTTTAACTGACACCCAATTTAACTGCACAGCAGGGATATAATTTTACAAAAAAGTTTATTATCTTTTAAAATGTTTGTACACTCCGTATGACAATGTGCTTACACAATACTTACAGTAGAGTTGGGTGAAACTTACTTTGTACATAGAAAAATAATAATAAACAAACAGAAAAAAAAGAAACATGAAAATCTCCCCCGCCACTGAAATAAAATGGAGGGCTGTGAGTCAGCGGGTTTCCTAAGTTCTGACAGACTGATGTGGGAACTGCATCAGGAGGGCTGAGCTGGTGAGGATGGGTGGGCTCGCTGTGCTCCCTGACCCCTACTCTCCTGCGTACAGCTTTGGTAACTTTACATATTATTTACACTTTCAATCATGAAATGATAGTCCTTTTACAAAGTGTCTGCTTATTTAAACATTCCCAAAACTATTATTCAATATATTCACATATAAAGCAATGTACATATGTTGGAACTTTCAATGCAATTTAATAACCTGCAACAAATTAATGACCTAATGCTAATGAGCCTACTCTGACAACCGTAAAAATCTTGGGAATTAATGAATGACAGTTTGTGAAACAAGGCCGGCCTATGTGTCGTCTAACGAGGACTGATTAAAAAAATAAGAACGAGAACACACAAGATGTTTAGAAACGGTTAAAACTGAAATCCTACAACTTTCATTTTCAACCTTATTCCTGCGAGAGGAGGAAACAGGGGCAGGACAAGTCGGGAGAGGGGTTGGACAGGAAATGGGGGGGAAAATCTGATACACAGCTAAACAGCACATCAAACACAGCATTCAAACCCTGCTCCCATTATTATACATAACTTTATAAAAGACATAATGATCACTATGCCAACCTGCTGGTTACTGGCTGATCCCTAAGTGTATTGTGAGTGAAGCTCATCCTGGTGAGGGCATATTACTTGAAGCAGGACATGTGGAAAACGTAGGAATTTCCATAAGGATACCAAACTGACCTCAGCCTACATCATGCATTCATAAAACAACAGAGGCTCCAAAGTCTCGTGGTTAAGAAGGCAGGGTTTGAGGAGTGGAAGCTTGGACCTCCACAGCCCAGTTAAAAGCAGCACCAGATACAGAGTCAGTGGTGGGGGGTTGAAGCATGAAAACATGAAAAAGGAAGTGGGAGGGGGGGGGGAGAAGGGACTGGACTGTTGGGTCATTGATCCATTTTTAACAGTGGAAAGTAACAAACTAACTCTGATAAATATGATACCAAAGATTCAATTGAGTAATCCTCGTTCAGGACTACAAGAGTTTAAAAAGTGGAATTCAGGTGATCATCTGGAGAACATTTAAGAACCACAAATGGAAAAAAAAACCCAAATGCTTAAAATCAAACAGTCAGTGAGAACGTTAGTCTCTGTAGCACCCCGCAGTGTCGTCCTTCGAGAACACTGCACCTGGAGCTTTCGGGGTCGTTCACCGACACTCGAGTCTCCGCCAGTCTCAAGAACGGGGCTCCTCCGTGATCCACCGGGCCTGGAGAGCTTCTTGGGCAGCAGTGCAATTCTTAGTCATAAATATGCGTAAGAAACTACTTCACAGCTCAGGCTGGCCAGTAACATACATGAAGGAGTGAATGGAAAGGCAAATGTGTGCTTCTCCGGTGTTCGCACAGAGCAAGAGTAACATCTGTGGCCACTGAGGCTAGTACACCTCTGTGTCCTCCTTGGGCCTGTACACGGGGCCGAATCTCTGCATGTACTTCTTGATGTACTCCTTGGTCTTGTGCTTCACATTCTCGTTACACTCAAGGTCCTCAGGATTGTTGCAAGCTTTCAGCTCCTTATTCATAACTCCGTGAGTTAGCTGGAGGAATGGGCAGAGATGGGGAAAGAGTCAGACATGTTTCTTGTCACCAGACTACAGTTAATTATATAATTACAATGTATATGTAAGTTGCGGTGGAGTGGTTGGATGGTTAATTCTCTTGTAGTGACTTTGCCCTTTATAATTTGAGACAATAAAAATGCAATCTCTAAATGAGCGAAGCCCAACTCGTCTTTCTGTTTATTGTGCCCATGTGCTCAGAGTCCTGGTATGTCCGAGTGGCACTCAGCGCAAACCACTCCCTACATACACAATCCATGGACCTACCAGGAACCTTGGGGGAAAAAAAACAAAAAGAATGCTGCTCTTTGAAGAAACGCTGGTTGCAAAGAGCTTTTAGAAAGGAATGAGTAAAACAAAAGCGAGGGAGATAATAGTTTACATGTACAATGTGTTTTTAGTCTCTTCCAGAGGCACAATACAAAAACATGTGGCTGGAAAAAGAAATCGTTGGAGCTCAACTATTTAGCTCTGGTTTGAGGAAAACTTTGCCTTTTAAGTTTAAAGCTGACCAATACTTTAATTGTGTCTGACCAGGCGGGGGCCAAGGTTTATAGCTTCTCTGCATTAATAGACGCTCTAAGTGCATGTGTAAACATCTTGTTTAATCTTACCTTTCTAGCCAGGTGTTTGAAGTCTTCTGTGTTGCTGATGCGTCCAAGTTTGCAGTCTGGTTTCCGATAAGGATTTAGACACTGCACTATGAACTGAGACATCTGAGTAACATACACACACATGCAAAAAGACTTGTTAAGAAGCGAAGAATATGTGGGAACAAATGGAAACTTGCATGGGTGGCTAGAAGAGGTTTGGAACTTAA